TGCAGGGTCTGCTAGCTGGGTGCTGGCAGGCTTGCACCTGGCACGGGCACCGTAGCCAGCCCGTGCCCCTTTAAGCGGTCCGGGGCCGGGAGGGGGGCAATAGAGTTTCCCTGGTGTTAGCCAGAGTGGCCACCAGGGAAAGCTGGGGAGGGCTAGCCTCCCACTAGTTCGAATTAAGGGGCTACACACCCCTTAATTCGAACTAGTAAGTTCGAACTAGGCTTAGTCCTCGTAGAATGAGGTTTACCTAGTTTGAACTTAGCGCTCCGCTAGTTCGAATTAAGTTCGAACTAGCAGAGCGCTAGTGTAGCGCCTATCAAAGTTAATTCGAACTAACGTCCGTTAGTTCGAATTAACTTTGTAGTGTAGACATACCCTCAGTGCCAAGTGGTAAAGAGTTCACTGTTCTGCAACAGCAACCCCTGGCAGCCCTAGAAAACTCATTACACTTACCACACTGCTTTCATTGTATTTATCCAGACGGGCTCAAGTGAAAGCCTATGTCACCCAGCTCCTCAGTCACTGAGAGATGTATATACAGATATGTAAGGAGCTGTGTATACATATACTGAAAAGATGTTTTAAAATCTATGTCCTGGGCAGAGTGGACAAACAAGTTCTGCTAGTCAAAAGGATGTTGATTCACTTGTCTGCCTTGGGTTATATGGAGATTAGGCCCTGCAAGTCAACAAGAAGCCTCATTTTGTGCATGGAAACAGCATAAGGGTATGTAGCAACTTGTAGCCAGCACACCAGGAAGGGACCCACGGGGGCTGTCCTCACTCTTGGAACACAAACAGTTTAGGGAACACTTAAGGAGCAGTGTGGACGAGCTTTGGGGTGCGATCACCCCCTGCCGGCAGGGCCAGGGGGGGTTCAGCGGACCCCCTCGTCCGGCTAGTTGACCCCCGGGCCCGGATTCCCCGGGCCGGGGGCTGGTGGGTCGGGTACGATCACCCCCTCTCTGATGAGCAGGGGGGATTCAGCGAACTCGCTGTCCGTCCTACTTCCGTGGCCAGTGGGTCCAAGACCCAGAGTTAGTTTTAGACCCCTCCTCGGAGCTAGTCCCTCCGACCTTGCCTGCCTGGCTTGCTGGCAACAACGTGCACTGCTGCCTAGCAGGACGTGTGGCTGTGGGTAAAGAGGGGTAGGGGGACCCAGGCCCACCCTCTCCACCAGGTCCCAGCCCGGGGTCCTAAGTGCAGGGGGCCAACAGTGCCCCTGCATGGCAGGCGGGGTTTTTTACGCCCTCAACACGTCTGCCCACGGACGCCACCAAGGCCCTGTCCCGGACTGCTTCCTCCCCTCTAGGGGCCCCCTGGGCCCGCCCTCTAGTGCCCCTGCGCCTGCCGTGGTTGCTAAGTCGACGGAGCCATGTAAACTAGTTTACCCGACATAGTCAATGAAGCCGGGATTTAAATAATTCCCGCTTCATTAAAATAAAAATGGCCACCACGCTGTGGCGACAATCAGCTGATCCCGGACAGCGCTGCAGTCTAGAGGTGGATCGGTCGACAAGGGAAGCCTTTGTCGACCGCTCCCTTATGCCTCGTGAAACGAGGTTTACAGCAGCGGTCGACAAAGGCTTCTCTTGTTGACCGATCCGTGTCTAGACTGCCGCGCTGTGCCGGATCAGCTGATTGTCGCCACAGCGTGGTGGCCATTTTTATTTTAATGAAGCGGGAATTATTTAAATCCCGGCTTCATTGACTATGTCGGGTAAACTAGTTTACATGGCTCCGTCAATGGAGCCGTGTAGTCTAGACACACCCTATCAGTGCAGCAGCAGCCAGCAGGGCAGGAGCAGCCTCTGGGGCAGAGAAAGCCTCGCTGGTGTGAAGGGGGAGAAGCGCATGTCTGCAGGCTCTCCCCAAGTCCAGAAGAGTGGAATGGGTCTCTCCATGCTCCTAGCAGGCAAGGCATTGCAATGAGGCCCTTCCCTTCCCCTTTATAGAATCATAGAATCATAGGACTGGAAGGGCCCTCGAGAGGTCATCGAGTCCAGCCCCCCGCCCTCAAGGCAGGACCAAGCTCCGTCTACACCATCCCTGACAGATGTCTATCTAACCTGTTCTGAAATATCTCCAGAGAGGGAGATTCCACCACCTCCCTTGGCAATTTATTCCAATATTTGACCACCTTGACAGTTGGGAATTTTTTCCTAATGGCCAATCTAAACCTCCCCTGCTGCACTTTAAGCCCATTACTCCTTGTCCTGTCCTCAGAAACCAAGAGGAACAAATTTTCTCCTTCCTCCTTGTGACACCCTTTTAGATATTTGAAAACCGCTATCATGTCCCCCCTTAATCTTCTTTTTTCCAAACTAAACAAGCCCAGATCATGAAGCCTGGCTTCATAGGTCATGTTCTCTAGACCTTTAATCATTCTTGTCGCTCTTCTCTGAACCCTTTCCAATTTCTCCACATCTTTCTTGAAATGTGGCGCCCAGAACTGGACACAGTACTCCAGCTGAGGCCTAACTAGTGCAGAGTAGAGAGGCAGAATGACTTCACGAGTTTTGCTTACAACACACCTGTTGATACAACCTAGAATCATATTTGCTTTTTTTGCAACAGCATCACACTGTTGACTCATATTCAACCTCAGGCCTTGTTTCTCTAGTCTAGCTGGTCTTCCCCTCCCTGGCAGATCTACCCTCCAGGACACCTAGAGTGGAGTGATTTGGAGAGGAAGGCGCTGCCCCACTGCATGCCAGTGTCTGTCTTCTTGGACCATGGTCAGCAGCAGCAGGAAGGGCACCTCGTGCTGGCAGGTGGAGTAGTGTGGGCTGGCTCCTGAGCAGAGGTTGTGCTTCAGCCAGAGAGAGGACCAGTATCCACGACAGGACAGCATTGGCATGATGGATCGAGTGAGGGACTGTTCCTTACACCCGCATGCCAGCCAATGCAGTTACGCATCCCTGGCTGCTCTGCTAGTTTGCCAAACAGGTGGCAGAGGGGGATGTGTGTGTCTTAGCCTAGGGAGTGCGAGGGATTAGATGTACTCAGGCACTTGCTTGGCCCTGTTCCCAGATCCTACTCTTCCCCCGTGGGCTCCAGCCCATAAGCATGGTTTGGAATGGACAGAGCTGTATCCTGGGGAAGTGGCCTCACCCCCAGTCTCGGGAAAAGTCCTGCACACCAGCAAGCAAATATTCTGTGCCAGTTTCTCTGCAGAAAATGGCCATGTGCTGCCGGAGATAAGACATGGGGAGGGGGACGCAGTGTGGAATAAGGCCCAGCCCAGAGGACTCTGTTTCCCTTAACTCAGCGAATCGTAGGAAATTTAGTTTTCCTCCCCAGACTCCCTCCAAGGGAGGTAGAATCTCCAGCCGAACGGAAACAGTTCTCTGCCCAAACTCTGCGAGCAGTGTGGGCTGATGAGTGAGAGGCAGGCAAAATCAGGGGCATTTGTGGAAGTTGCAGAGCACCACCCTGCCCCAGAAAAGGTGGCACGGGATGAAAAAGGCACTAATGCCCAATGAGCCTGAGCCACTGTAGGAGAGAAGGCACTTACTGTGATAGGGAGCCCATTCCTTCCATACTCCAGGGGAAGGAACCGAGGGGAGAGGCTCAGAGCTTGAGAGAACGTTGAATGGTCTTGTGTCTTCTGCAGAGGACCCCCCAGTTGCTATACCAAGAGGTTCTTTCTGGTGTGGAATAGTGTTTCCACCTACACTCATGCCTGTAGGAATCTGCAGACCTAGCAATTAGCCAGTAAGAGAGACACAGAGGCAGTAGCCTCCTTCCACTGGCCCGTTAGCTCCTTGGCCATAGACATCTATTTGTTCACAACCTTAGAGCAGCACAGTGCCTTCAGCTCCATCCGCTTTCTTGGCATCACTGTGATGAGGCTTGCTGGAGACCATCCCGTGGCATAGCGTCAAGAGCCCATGGCTGCTGTGTGTTCTGCTTGAAGGGAAGGCAGTGGCTCCTTGGGACGAGATCGAACTTTCAGCTCCAGAGTCATCAGCGTGAATCATCCAGGCAGCGCACCTGGCAGTCCAATAGCAGAGACGAGGATCCTGTAAAATCTGGAAGGGTCTAGTGGTCGCACATGCTGGCAAATGGTGCAACCAATTTCATAGAGGCACAGTTGCATTATATTGTAGCTCCTGGGCATTGTATGGGACTTGGGTTTGGTTTTCAAGTTTGTCTTTCCAAACTGAAAAAAAAAAGCAAAGGATTCCAGTATTTAAAAGCAGAATCCAGTCCACACAGATAGCTGTGTATTAATTTCCTGACACACCATTGATTTCTGGTGAAAACTGAACTGGCTGTCAGACATTCCGGTTATCTTTAATGTAAAAGGTCATATGTATATTTCCTCTAATATTCTGTTGCAATGATAACAGTACATATCATTTGGGGAGAATTATTAGGCAATAGACATCATGCCTCGAATTTTTTAAATGCCTTATGTAGGCATGTTGGTAGAAATCTTGCCAAATTCAAAGGCAGACACACACTTTAGAACATATGCAATGTCTTTGATATTTATCAAATGTTATATCTTGTGACAGATAACAGAGCTGAAGCCAAGACTTTGAGGTTTTAAAAGGAGGGAAACACTTGCTTTTTGTTAGTCAAAGTACAGATAGTATGGCTTTTTGTGGGTTGATTTAGCATAAAGGAAGTGTTGGTTGTGAGAACGTGTAGGCTGGTGCAATGAATTATGTATCACAATTCAGTTTTAATAGTTTAAAGGAATGTTTCAGTTTTGGGGCAACATGGGTGAAATCCTGGCCCCCATTGATATCAATGGCAAAACTGCTATTGAGTAAAATGAATTCAGGATTTCTCTCTGTGTTTAGAATGGATTGTCCCACTGTAAGTTAGGGATTGGGGGGAAGAAGCACAAACACACACTCCCAGTTAGTCATTTAGAGTTATTTTTTAAGGAAATGAAGGCTCCTGCATACATATCCTCTCCATACACGGGAGCTTTTTCTGTGGCGACGCAGGACATAGCATGACCGATGATCCCACTCCAAGGGAAGCTCGCAGACCTAGAGAACTGGCACATGCCCTAGTGGAGAATGTGCTGCTTGTCTTGCCATACAGGCAAATCACCCAGATGTTTAAGGCAGCTGCACATTTAGTGGCTCTCAGTTCTATGCAGCCTGAGGTATGATAGTGCGTTGTCACTGGGTATACACGTGGGGTCATAGGTTGTGGAATGTAGAGGTTAAGTAGCTGTATAAACTATATTCATCTTTTCTTATGTAACTACTGAATGGCTAATGATAGAGATGGTTGAGATGAAATTTCCTCAGACTGTAATCCTGTGGCTGGCAGCTTACTTCTTGCCTGAAAAGTTTTGGCAAAGGAAGGTAAATTTTGCCTATATGCTCTCGAGGTCATCTGACTTGTATACCAAGCACCATTGTGCTAAACCAAGTTGCCAATAGAAACACAGCTGAAACCATGAATCGTGCCTCAGTGAGGAGGACGGCCATGGCAGCAAGAGTTGATAAAAGGAAGTAAACTACGGTTGTGTCAATATTTTGGAAAGGTAAATGGGATGACCCACGTAATCGTAGGTCTCTCTGCCTGACATTGATTTCAGGCAAGATAATGGAGTGGCTAAACTGCTATGGGACTCCAAAAAGAACTGAAGGAGGATAACACAATTCATGTCAATCAACATGGGATTATGGAAAACAGATCCTGTCAGACTAACTTGATATTTTTATGAGATTACAAATTGAGCTGGTGAAGTTAATAGTGTTGATGAAATATATTTAGACTTCTATAAGGCAGTTGACTTGGTAGCGCATGACATTTTAATTAAAAAACTAAAACAACTCAAAACTAACATGGCACATATAAATGGATTAAAAACCAGCTAAATGACAGCTCTCAAAATGCAATTGTAAATGGGGAGTCATCTTTGAGCAGGCGTGTCCCAGTGGGGTCTTGCATGGATCGGTTCTTGATTCTAAGCTATTCAACATTGTTATCAATGACCCAGAAGAAAACAAAATCATCACAGATCAAGTTTGTAGGTGGCACAGTTTGGGGGAGTGGTATATAAAGAAGAGGACAAATCACTGATACTAAGCAATCCAGATTGCTCTGTCAGCTGGGCCTACGCAAACAAATATGCCTTCTAATAAAGCATTTACTTCCAGAGCAGTGGTGGGACCGTGGCACAGCTGCCCAGCCAACAGGCTCTCCAGCTGTCCAGGAAGGGTAGGCACACCATCTCCTGGGAGGAGGGAAACTAAGGGAACTGGGGGCAGTAACTTGGGGTGGGGGCTGGCTGCTGCGGTGGTGTCTGGGCTTGGCTCCATGGGAGGGGGAGGAGGTCATGGAAGGGACAGGTTTGGGTGGAAGAGGCAGGGCTGGGGCTTGCCTTCCCCTCCTGGGCATTCACCCACTGCCAGTGGCGAGCTGCTCTCCCAGCAGGGGAGCAGAAGGGACCAGATGACTTGGTCAGCGGTGGCTCTAGAAATCTCCCCAACCACTGTCTTGCTGCACTGGAGCAGTGGGGCTGTCTCTCTATGAGACAAGCAGCAGCAGCGGTTTCAGCTCCTTAGGAAAGCACTGCTGAGCAACTACCCCAGGAGCCTCTTTGGCGGAGACACAAATGGGGCCAGCCGCAGCCAGGGGTCCTGCATGTTGCTCTCTCCAAAGCAGGTCCTGAGCTAGAGAAGCACAGGAGGGGGCCTAGCCCTGGATGGTAACTGGCCATCACCCAGCCTGCCCAAGTGAGGAAGAGGGAGCAAGGTAAGATTTGTGCTAGCTCAGCCCCAAGCCCAGACACAAAGGTCTATAAACCACCTGTAGGTGGACCTCCTTCCTAGCTCTCTGAATTCAAGTCTGGGGCAAGGACTGCTGCTCAAACCCATTGTGACTACGCCAACATTTCACTTCAGTCTCTCTATGCAGATAAAATCAGTTTAAGCCACACGCCTTAAACAGGAGGTTTTAACTGATTCAGTTTTGAAACTTGACCTTTATTGTAGTGCAGCAGAGCAACACAGTTCAAGACAAATACTGTACCTTTTGACATGCAAGGGGATAAACAAATATACAGATCTTCATGAATCATCTGAAATGCCTTAAGGAGCAAATATGAGTGTAAAAAAATGAGATTGTTATCTGAAAGGAGGACATTTTCCTGATATGTTTAAAGAAGGGAGTGCTTTAGAAACCGAGAACATAAACTCTCTCTCTCTCTCTCTCTCTCTCTCTCTCTCCCCGTGTGTGTGTGTGTGTGTGTGTGTAGAGATACACTTCCCACAGCAGCAGTCTGATGCAACAATGCTTTTACTATACTCCCTAACCAAATGAAGTCAGCTGAAATCATAGGAAAAGCACACGTTTAAAATGTCTACTTGCTGCTTTTGGATGTCCTCGTTACAAACACTCTCCACTTAAGCCTTCTGGTTAATATTCTCTTCACAGCTGAGTACAGATGTGGCTAGCAGCGCCTTGTGAAATAAATGTTCAGCTGCAGGCCTCTACCACAAGGCTCAGACACCTGCAGGTGACATCACCCACTCTCTAGCTGACACAGAGGCTGATTAACATGCTGGAACAGGTGCCACAAACCCCACAACTCTTAGAAAGCGTATGCTCCCTCGCCTTAATACAATGATTTATACAGCTGATATGATTCTGCAGGCCACTGGCTCTTTGGCAGACGTTTACCTGCCACTATGATATTAGCAAAAAAAGTCAAAAGTCTCCATGCTGAGCACTCTTGGTCTGATTTCTATGCACAACACATTTTACATGCACCTGTATGTCCACAAGTGTGCCGGACTCTTACCCACTGCTCTGGAAGTAAATTCCTGAGGTCCTGTCACATGGCCAGACCTGTGTAAATGGGAATCAGATGTGTATGTGCCCTGATGATGAAGCTGATGGTGGACGTAGTATCAGCCTCTTTGATTCTTCTTAGCATAAGCTCAGGGTGCCCCAGGCGGCATGGGACCAGGAATCCTCACTGAACTAGGCCCACTGGTTGGATCAGACATTTCCCCGGCCCAGGCCAGGTAGTGACAGGGAGGCACATGAACGCTGAGCCACGCCCCCAGCCTCTCAGACACAGAGTGGGTTTCTGTGGCTGGTATTGGCGACCCACCACTTGGGGTGATTTTATAATACACACACAATAGGAGCCGACTCTGCAAAGGGAAAAACTGAGGAGGGACAAACTAGTGGGTGTGGAGCACCTATCACTGCCAAGCTTCCCCCACCCCGCATCTCTAGCCCACTGGTGGCCCTGCAAATGTACCTCTCCCCCTCCCTCCCAACACTTCCAGAGTGCCGCAGAACTCGTTTGCAGCATTCAGGAAGCCCTGGCAGGGCAGGGACAGGGAGCTCTCAGGGTAAGAGGCTAGGGTTGCTAACTATGGCATGCACCCAGCCACGGTTAAACCATCCTATAACAGCAGTAAGCGGATTGCAAGGGCTGCCCCCTTTCCTCACGGATGTAGACCTTTCTCCTGTTTGTTATCTCTGCATCTCACCGTGAGATTCTTGCAAGGTGTGCTTCTTGGGGCTTCCACATCCAGCCACTCGGAGGTGGATGCTGGTGAAAAGGTGGAAGCTAGTTTATCAAGTGGGGCTTCCACATGCTCAGAGCAAAGGACACCAGCACTCCAGGATTTGTGTTGGCTTATTGGTCTCCAGGGGAGTTTAGAGTGTTGGTTATGAGCTGGAAAGCCCTAAATGGCCTGGGACAGACCTACCTGAGGGATCATCTGTTTTTCTGGGCCAAAGCTGCAACCAGCCACGGTATGGGGCTAGATCCCCTTCTTAGCAATGAGAGGGGAGAGTTGATCTCTGGGAGGACTCTGGGACTTGTTGCCACCTTTGGTCTGACAAAGCCTAAATATGATGAATTTCCAGGCATGGGGCTATCAATTTGATATGGTATTAGGGGAACGGATGATATGTTCCACATGGGGATAGGGTTGCCAACCCTCCAGGATTGTTAAATTGGAGTCTTCAGGAATTAAAGATTAATCTTTCATTAAAGACTGTCGTGTGATAAAATATCCCAGAATTCATTCAATTGAAGTCAGCAACCTCACATGATGGGGAAGAGGGTGAGAGGAGCATTTCTGTAGCTTTGATTTACAGGCAGTCCCAGGGTTACGTACAAGATAGGGACTGTAGGTTTGTTCTTAAGTTGAATCTGTATGTAAGTCGGAACTGGCGTCCAGATTCAGCCGCTGCTGAAACTGATCAGTTTCAACAGCGGCTGAA